ATTTAAGCTTATAGGTAAGGTAAAGGTATGATGTGGAGCTATAGCAAGCGACTAGCATATATGGTGGCTAACATACGCAAAAGAGAGCGAGAAGAGAAGGCAAAAGCACGGTCGAACAACTATGATCAAGAAGTGATCCTAGAACAACCTACGTCAAACATTACTCCAACACCGTGTTCACTTTCCGGACCCCGCCGAGAAGAGACCATCACGGTTACACACGCGGTTGATGCATTTTAATTAAGTTAAGTTTCAGGTTATCTACAACCGGACATTAACAAATTCCCATCTGCCCATAACCGCGGGCACGGCTTTCGAAAGTTCAAATCCCTGTAGGGGAGTCCCAACTTAGCCCATCACAAGCTCTCACGGTCAACAAAGGATATTCCTTCTCCCAAGACAATCTGATCAGACTCGGCATCCTAGTTACAAGACATCCTCGACAATGGTAAAACAAGTCCAGCAACACCGCTCGAATGTGCCGACAAATCCCGATAGGAGCTGCACATATCTCGTTCTTAGGGCACACTCAGATGAGACATCCTACGAGTAAAACCAACCCTCAAGTTGCCCCGAGGTGGCCCCGCAGTCTACTCGGTCGGACCAACACTCAGAGGAGCACTGGCCCAGGGGGGTTTAATAAAGATGACCCTTGGGCTCCGGAAACCCAAGGAAAAAAGAGGCTAGGTGGCGAATGGTAAAACCAATGTTGGGCATTGCTGGAGGAGTTTTATTCAAGGCGAACTGTCAAGGGGTTCCCATTATAACCCAACCGTGTAAGGAACGCAAAATCCGGGAACATAACACCGATATGACGGAAACTAGGGCGGCAAGAGTGGAACAAAACACCAGGCATAAGGCCGAGCCTTCCACCCTTTACCAAGTATATAGGTGCATTATGATAAACAAGATAATATGGTGATATCCCAACAATAAACATGTTCCAACAAGGAACGATCTCCAATCTTCACCTACAACTAGCAACGCTATAAGAGGGGCTGAGAAAGCGGTAACATAGCCAAACAACGGTTTGCTAGGACATGGTGGGTTAGAGGTTTGACATGGCAATATGGGAGGCATGATAAGCAATGTGGTAGGTATCATATCATAGGCATAGCAAAAGAGCGAGCAACTAGCAAGCAAAGATAGAAGTGATTTCGAGGGTATGGTCATCTTGCCTGCAAAGTTCTCAGAGTTGCCTTGATCCTCGAAAGAGTACTCAACGGGCTCCTCGATCACGTACTCGTATCCCGGCTCTACCCAAGCAAGAACAACAAGCAAAAGGAACACAATCAACCACGTGCAATGCTCAAACAACATGATGCAAACATGGTGTGATATGCGGGATGCGGTATGCGATGCATATGCAAGATTTGGAAAGGAAAGAATTTACCTGGCCTCAACTTGGAAATCCAAGAGTGCCACTGGAAATAGGAGTTGATTTCGGTTGAAATCGATATAAAGATCACCGGAATCGGATGCACGGTTTGGAAAGGGCAAGCAAAACAAATATGGCACCGGTCTGCGATTAACAGCAAGTAGCCTTTTAAATGCATCAAGATAAATATGCTACAACACTCAAACATGACAACAAAATACATGTCAGGGATCCACTCATGATGCTTGACAAAATATGAACACTGAGCTACGGCTAAATCATTCATTAATAGGTTCAAACAAGCATGGCAAAAGTGCAAAAGATAACAGGTTTCAGACTTTATGAAATTAACAGATTCAAACTTAGTGAAAAACTGGAGCATGGCAAAACAGTTAACAAGTAGGCATGTTTACGAGCTCGATGCACTCACTACGAGGCATTGCATGACAAACTGAGCATACATCCATCAAATAGACATGGCATAGAAGCTAGACATGGCAAGAACAACAACATAGCATCCACGGATCAATAGCAACAACCTCGGCAAAATTCCTAAACATGTTAACAATCTGCCAGGAACATTTTATAGCAAAAGTAGAGCTCGATTGACTCAAGCTAGGGTGCTCCATAATTGTTAACAAAGAAACGGATGGATAGAGCACCCCAATATCTACAAAACATCATTACTGATCATCCTCAAAAGAGGCACGGATCACTAGGAAACAACATGAACATATGGCATAAAACAAAAACAGGACAAGGACTTACTGAAATTCTAAGTCCCTGAAATCAGCATCATTGAGTAGGCTACTTTGCATGCTTGTGCTAGTCACCACGAAGATCACAAAAATACATGACATACACCCTTGTAAATATGGCATGGCAATCTACAAAACACATGTAGAGCTCAGGATTATAGCATGCACACATTAAATATGGCAAAAATGACAAAAGGCCATTCGCTGAAACAGATCTGAAATAATCATCACATAGCCCTCTTCCAACAGCATTTCAGGCATCAAGATGAGCTCAAATGAAAATGATGCAGTGAGACGAAATGATGTACTCGTCGAGACGAACATTTTGATATGCTACACACACGAATCGGAGCTACGATGAGGAAGTTATGGCATGTCAAAGAATGCAAAAATTAACGAGAGGAGAGGGAAAAAGTCAACCCTCAAGAACAGATCTAGGGTTCCTCCGCGGGGTACTGTAGCGATGCAGCGGCGGATCTCGCCGGAGAAGCTGCGCGGGGCCGTCGGAGTTGCCGAGGAGAGGAGGCCGGCCGGATGGCGAGGTGGCGGAGGGCGGCGCCGGACTTGGGCGGCACGGGCGGAGTTCGTCGGCGGCGGGAGCGGCAAGGACGGGCGGCGAGGCAGCGTGGACGGGGCGGCGGTGACCGGGCAAGGCGGCGGTGCGGCGATGTCGGCGGCGGCGGCACGCAGCCCCGGCAAGAGCTAGCGGGCGGTGGGGCGAAGGAGGCGGCGCGGCCGAGGATGCGGGTCGGGAGGGCCTCACACGGGCTCGCGGGCCTGCGGGGTCGGCGGTGATGTGGGGACCGGCCCGGGACGCGTGGCGCGGCGTGATTCGTCCGACGGAGCCGGGCGGACACGTCCGGCGCGCGGATTTTTGTCCGGCGGCGGCGGGTGGAGCTTTACTAGGGTTTCACCCGTGATTTCGAAAGGGGGGGGTCTATGTATAGAGGTAGAGGGAGATAGGAAGCTCTAAATGAGGTGCGGTTTTCGGCCACGTGATCGTGATCGAACGCTCTAGATGATGGAGGTGGTTTAGGTGGGTTTTGGGCCAGTTTGGAGGGGTGTTGGGCTGCAACACACACGAGGCCTTTTCGGTCCCTCGGTTAACCGTTGGAGTATCAAACGAAGTCCAAATGGCACGAAACTTGACACGCGGTCTACCGGTAGTAAACCAAAGCCGCATGACAAGTATCGATCTAATCCGAAAACATTTAATCCCACACACGAAAAGAGGTAGAAAGGACAACTAGAGGACATAGGAGCGCCGGAATGCAAAACGGACAACGGGGAAAATGCTTGGATGCATGAGACGAACACGTATGCAAATGCAATGCACATGATGACATGATATGAGATGCATGACAAGGACAAAACAAACGGAGACAAAAACCCGACAACGAGGAAATAATATAACTTAGTGCTGGAAACGGCAAGAGTTGGAGTACAAATAAGGTAAATTACATCCGGAGTGTTACAACCAGGCATTTAGCCCCAGAGAAAATCTCATCATTAGACCAGAAAAAGGTACGTATGTGTTTATCAATGGCTTCAATAACACTAATAGGAAGAGAAAAACAGAGCATGAAGTAGGTGGGTAGGCTATCTAGGACGGCTGACAACAAGACGAGTTTACCACCACGAGAGAGAAGGAGGGTAGCCCAGCCAGAAAGATAGATATCACATCTGTCAATGATTGGTTGGAAGGCCGACGGGGCAGCTTGTAGGGGGAGAGAGGGAGCCCTAGATAGGTTTGGGGGAAGGAGGAGATGTTAGTGGCTAGGTCAGAGGCCATTTTAGTGGCAAGCTTCGAGTCCACATTAAGAGGGATGAAGGTGGTTTTGTGAAAGTTGATTTGGAGACCTGTGGCGGCTGCAAAATTATCTAGGGTTCGCTTCAAGTGCGAGGCAGCCTCGGGGGTTGCTTTAACAATAATGAGGGTATCGTCAGCATATTGAAGGACCGGACAGGGCAGGGTGGGATTGAGAGGGTGCAAGAGAAGCCCATCCGGATTGGCTTTGAAAATAAGTTGCTGAAGAATGTCAGCGATAATGATGAAGAGGTAGGGCGAGAGCGGATCACCCTGGCGTAGTCCATTCTTACACCGAATCCATCTATCCGGGACACCATTAAGCATGACCGCAGTTGAACCAGTGCAGAGAAATGATTCGATCCAATCGCACCAATGTTGTGGGAAACCACGAGTACGAAGAGTGCGAAGGAGGGAGGACCAGCAAACAGAGTCGAAGGCTTTGTGAAAGTCTAATTTACAACCAGGGAAGGAGCTTTACGCTTGGCACATCAATGAAGGATATCAGCTGCGTACAGAAAATTTTCAAAGATGTTGCGGCCGGAGAGGAAGCCCGTTTGGTCGGCGTGGACAAGGAGAGGAATAAGTGGCTTGAGTCGATTGGTAAGAAGTTTAGAGACTCCTTTAATGGGGCCGTTTTGAAGCGAAATGGGACGAAATTCGGCGGGGGATCGGGCGTCATTGGATTTAGGGAGAAGGATGATGAGGGCTCTGTTCAGGCAGGAGATATCGCTTTGGAGATCATGAAACTCGAGGAAAAAGTCCTTAATTTTCCTCTTCAGGATGGGCCAATGACATTCTTGATTTGATCATTTTTTTAGGTGCTTCATAAATATGCTGGTAATTATTGGTTTGTGATAGGCTGATAGTTGAGAAACTGACAAATAAAATATGTTGTATGAATGTACATTCTAATAGTTCTGGTGCTATTTTTGCTACAAACTATGTGATCTTGTCCAGGGCCATTCTCAGAAAAAAATAAAGTTCATTTTGACATTTATGACTACAATCATTTAGTACTTGTAGCTTTTATGCATGGAGTTTATGTATCTTGCAGTCAGAAGCTCTTATTGAGGGTTTGCTTCAGAATGGTAGGCTAACATTCGACCAACTTGTGGGACAAACAATCTCTAAAGTGCCAGAAGGTATGTCCATTTAATTTGTTGAAGTTGTTATTGGATCGTCCACTGTTCTTCTTATGATGGTATTCTCTTTCCTTTTTTCTCCATACTATTACTATTCCCTAATAATGGGTCATCCATGTTCCAGGCACCATCCGACCAGCAAGGGCAGAGATATGAATGAACTTCGACAGACTTGTGTATGCACGTTATGTGGAACGTTGCCCAAAACCTGAACCATCTTTTGATCCACTGGGAGATGAACAGTCTATTAAACACATGATTGTGTCACGCATGTGTCACGTACAGAATACATACAGGAGGATTGAGTACTTCTCAAGGATAGCTAGGCGCATGAGATATTCTGTTGTAATACTAGCTAGCTTATCCTCTTATCTCTCTTATCTTTCTTCTTCATCAAGTTGTATCTCAACCAACTCTTGTACGCGTATCTCAGGCTCGCACCCTGCCTATTTAACATGCAGCACGTTGCCCTAGATCGGGTAAGACGTTTCCGCCAACGCACATGATAATCAGAGCCTTCCTACTTCCCATCTAGCCTCCACCTCCACCTGTGCCGAAACCATGTCTTCCTCCTCCGGTGTCGCCCAGTCCAATCTCAATGGGAAGATCATCGAGAAGCTTTCCCGCACAAATTACATGATGTGGCGCACGCAGATCACACCCCAACTGCGTGGCGCCGGTGCCTTCGGCTACATCGACGACACGTCACCGGAGCCGGCCAAGCTCTGCACCGCCAAGGACAAGGACAACAAGGCCATCTTCGAGCCCAACCCTCTCCACCCTCTTTGGGTCAGGGAGGACCAACAGGTTCTCGGGTTCCTCCTCAGCAACCTATCCAAGGAGGTGCTGGTCACGGTGACTGCGGTCACCACGGCGAACGCGCTCTGGACGACGCTGGCGGGCATGTACTCGTCGCAGTCACTGAGCCGCGTCAACAACATCCGCACCTCCCTCATCAACGCACAGAAAGGTACCCAATCCGCCGCCACCTACTTTGCCTACATGCGTGGTCTCGCTGATGAGCTGGCTGCGGCGGGTAAGCCGATCCAGGATGATGAGCTGATCCCCTACATCCTCCATGGGCTGGATCTGGAGTACCAGCCCCTGGTCTCAGCCCTCGACGCTCGCGTCTCCCCCGCCTCCCTTGATGAGATCTTCGCCATGCTCTGCAACTTCGACCAACGCATGGCGCAGTTCCACGGTGCGGGCGGCCACTCCTTCAAGTCCTCGGCAAACACTGCAACCCGCGGCCATGGTGGTGGCTGTTCCCGCGGCTCTTACCGCGGTAGGGGGCGGTCTGGTGGCAGCGGCAACAACGGCGGGCGCTCCAACAACAAGGCTCGCCACGGCAGCGGCATCGGTTCTGGTCGATCTCGCCTGGACTCGCCTCGCTGCCAGATATGTGGTAAGCCGGGCCACACCGCAAAAGATTGCTGGTATCGTTATGATGAGGACGAGGATGACTCTCAAGACGATGACAAGATCATTGTGGCGGCCGATGGCTCCTATGGCATCGACACCAACTGGTATGTCGATAGCGGCGCAACCAACCACATCACCAACGAACTTGAGAAGGTGACCATGAAGGAAATGATCAAATCCACACGGTCAGTGGAGAAGGTATGCGGATAAATCACATTGGTCATTCAATATTTAGTACCCCTAGTCGCAATATTCATCTCAAGAAAATCTTGCATGTTTCTAGTGCTGCCAAAAGTCTTCTTTCTGTTCACCGAATTGCCTTAGATAATCATGTCTTCCTTGAGTTTCACCCCTTTTTCTTTTTGATTAAGGACTAGGAAACGAAGAAAATCCTCTATCAAGGTAGATGTGTTCGAGGGCTTTATCCGTTGATCCCGGTGCGTAGAAGATTCAATAAACAAGTCTATGGTGTTACCAAGCTTTCATCAACCCGGTGGCATGATAGATTAGGACATGCTTCTTTCTCTCTAGTTGAAAAATTGCTTAGGAAAAATAAGCTCCCGTTTGTGGTTGAGAGACATAATGAAACTATTTGTGATTCGTGCCAAAGAGCAAAAAGTCATCAATTGCCATATCCCATATCTACTAGTGTTTCTACCAAACCGTTGCAACTTATATTCTCTGATGTATGGGGTCCGGCCCCAACCTCTGTTGGTAGACACTCGTATTACGTCAGTTTCATTGATGACTATAGTAAATTCTCGTGGATTTATCTCCTTAAGCATAGATCGGAAGTGTTTCAAGTTTTTCAAAACTTCAAAGCTCTTGTTGAACGCAAGTTCGACAACAAAATAATTGTTGTCCAATCGGACTGGGGGGGAGTACGAGAAGTTAAACTCCTTCTTCCAAACTCTTGGCATATCACACCACATATCATGCCCTTATGCGCACTAGTAGAACGGCTCCGCCGAACAAAAACATCGTCACATAGTTGAAGTTGGGCTTGCTCTTCTTGCAGGAGCATCCATGCCTCTCAAATTCTGGGATGAGGCCTTTCTCACAGCCGTACACCTCATAAACATTCTTCCTAGTCGTGTCATAAATAATGAAACACCCCTAGAAGGACTCCTTCATGAAAAACCAAACTATCAATCTCTCCGTGTTTTTGGGTGCGCATGCTGGCCCAATCTTCGTCCCTACAACAAATGGAAACTCATGTTTCGTTCCACCAAATGTGTGTTCCTTGTCTATAGCTCTCAACACAAAGGTGTCAAGTGTCTCGAGGTCTCCACGGGTCGAGTCTACATCTCTAGGGATGTTGTATTCGATGAAACACAGTTTCCCTTTGCTGATCTTCATCCTAACGCCGGTGCGCTTCTTCGCAAAGAAATCCTTCTTTTGCCTTCACATCTCACCGGTTGTGATCAAGGGGGGAACGATACTGATGATCACTTGTTGACTAATCCTGCTGATATGTTGCATGAGTCGTGTGGTGATGAAACAGGACTAGAATCAGGAACAAATGGCGAAAAAACTGAAGAAGAAAGAGCAAGTTTTGGCCCTTATTTCATGTGTTCAGAAACAAGAGACAAGATCTCCTTGGGATCAGTGCAGCGTCAGGAAATCCGATCCTCCTCGGGATCGGTTGTAGCAGACGCGGGATCTCCCTCAGGATCCAGCGCAGCTGGCACGGCTGCGGCTGCAGGCGCACGCGCCGCAGCGCCCGGCTCCACAGGCAGCACGCGGTCGCCTCTCGTTAGTCGCGACACGGACCCAGTGACGCGCCAATCTCCTGTTGCCAACTAGCGATGCATGGATGGCCCGGACGGCGCGCGCTACCGCGGCCAGCCGGTGTGCTACAAGCGGCGGGCTCTAGTTCGCTCCATCGATGCGGACCCTGGTGCGGGCCCTGACGCGGCCCCCAGCGTTGATTCGCCATCATTGCACAATGATGGGCCGGTCCAGAGGCTGGGATCATCGGTGGCCTCTCCAGGCAATGCAGTTCAGCCACAAACCGCAGAAGATCCCGCTGGGACAGCTCGCGCTGCTGCACCCAGGGGATCCTCCTCAGGATCAGCTCCGGCTGGAACTCCTGTACAGGAGACAGGATCTTCTGTGGCTATGGATGAGGTTGCGACATCACCACGACGCACACAACTACAAAAAGGGGTAACGAAACCTGTGAACTATAAACACGTCGTTAAATATGGTATGATTTGTTCTACAGGAGAACCAGGTGAACCAAACACGGTTGAAGAAGCACTTGGTAATGAGAAATGGAAGAAAGCTATGAATGAAGAGTACATGGCATTGAAGAAAAATAAAACATGGCATTTGGTTCCTCCACGGCAAGGTAAAAACTTGATTGACTGCAAGTGGGTATTCAGGATTAAGAGAAAATATGATGGAACCATTGATCATTATAAAGCTAGACTTGTTGCAAAGGGCTTTAAACAAAGATACGGCATAGACTATAAGGACACGTTTAGTCCAGTTGTAAAAGCTGCTACCATTCGCCTTGTCCTGTCTATTGCTATTTCTAGGGGCTGGAGTCTTAGATAGCTAGATGTACATAACACGTTCATCCATGGTGTTCTGGAAGAGGAAGTGTACATGAAGCAACCTCCTGGGTTTGTAAGTAAGAATGCTCCATCTGATGTGTGCAAACTTGATAAAGCACTATATGGGTTAAAGCAAGCTCCAAGGGCATGGTATTCACGTCTCTGTCACAAGATGCAGGCACTTGGCTTTGTTCCTTCCAAGTCTGACACTTCATTGTTTATTTACAACAAGTCTAACACATGCATATTTGTCCTCATCTATGTTGATGATATTATTGTGACAAGCTCATCTAATGAAGCAATCATAGGGCTCTTGAAGGACTTGAGTGTAGATTTTGCCTTGAAGGATCTTGGAGACTTGCACTTCTTCCTTGGGATTGAGGTAAAGAGAAACAATGATGGACTGCATCTTTCTCAAGAGAAGTATGCAACTGATCTGGTAAAAAGGCTTGTTTGAAAGACTGTAAGCCATCTCCTACTCCACTATCCAGTTCAGAAAAACTATCTCTCACAGAAGGACACTCTTGAATCAAGAGGACAACACAAGATACAGAAGTTTGGTGGGAGCATTACAATATCTCACTCTTACTAGACCTGACATTTCTTTTGCAGTTAACAAAGTTTGTCAGTTTCTTCATGCACCCACTACTGTTCATCTAACTGCTGCAAAAGGCATAGTTAGATATGTCAAACATACTTTGAGCATTGATCTAAACTTTAGCAAGTCACCTTCAACACTTGTCAGTGCATTCTCTGATTCAGATTGGGCAGGATGCTTGGATGACAGGAGGTCAACTGGTGGGTTTGATGTATTCTTTGGACCTAACTTAATATCACGGTGTGCACGAAAACAAGCTACTGTCTCTAGATCAAGTACAGAGGCAAAATACAAAGCATTAGCAAATGCTACAGCAGAGATTATATGGGTTCAGTCTATGTTTAAAGAACTTGGTGTGAAAAACACATGAGCTCCATGTCTATGGTGTGACAACCTTGGTGCCACCTATCTCTCTGCAAATCCAGTCTTTCATGTAGAACAAAACATATAGAAATTGATTTTCACTTTGTCAGGGAAAGGGTTGCTTAGAAGCAACTTGACATTCGGTTTGTGCACTCCAGAGATCAAGTTGCAGATGGATTCACAAAGGCATTGCCTGTACGGTGTTTTGAAGA